TACTTGTATTGCACACTGGAAATGTGTGTATTAAATGTACTCTAACCACACCTCAAATACACCTAAGTGTATAGATATTATTCTGGTACATTAGAAGTTCTTTTCATATATATTTTTAAATGAAAACTATATTTCCATAAAATACCAAAATAACATTGAAAATAAAAAAAAAATTAAGCCACCCAAAATACTGCTAGTGCATTCAAAGTGCATTTCAAACATACTTGTTGATAAAAAGTTTATCAAATTTTTATACACGTTTGAATGCACTTCGCGTATTTCTCGCCATATTATTTACACATACGGAATACATTTAAGTATACCAAAATTCATATCGAATGCGGACAAAAAAAAAAAGAAATTATACGTGTCTGAAATGCATTTAAAATGTATTTGAAGTATAGTATTATTTGCTAAGGGGTGTGTTACTACCTATAGACTGTTAACGAGAAACTAAAGTATTTGGTGACTGTGCGAATGCCGCGCGGCTCTCAAAGAATGTGATACGTCTCGACAAGTGCGTAACACCATAAAAATATGTTGCGTATTCACTGATTGACTGGGGCGGAGAGGCGCAAAAGCAGCTACATCTATAATGCAGGAGCTGCATAAGTCATTACCTACGGATGATCAAAGGACAGAGAATAACCATGCTTGAATGTGTGAAGTCCGGCACTTTAATTTTAGTATGTGCGTATGAAATGCAGACTTAAACCAGAAGTGTGCATAAGTCTGTAGGAATATAGACCTCAGTTCAGAATATAAATAAATATTTACGAATGATGTAGGAGGCCGATTGTATTAAGAGACCCAAAAACACAGTCCTTGAGCATCAGATGAAGGTCCCTTAAAATGGTATATATGGTGTGGCAGTCTATATTCTCTTCATGACCGCGAAAATTGTTGTGTGTGTGTTGTATGCATTGTAAAACTGTGAATTAAAAACTTCCTAACTCAAAATTTTTTGTCATAAACATTCATGAAATTGAAGATTTATGACTAGTAAGGTCTGTGAAATCATTGGCGCGGAGATAACTTTCTTATATAAAAGTGTGTTGTTATGAATGCCGCCACTAATTCATTAAAACTTAGATTGGACACGACTGCCCCGCTACAAACGTTTGGTTCGGGCGCTGAGTCAGCAGAGAATCTCAGATACAACAATGCCAGCCCTTCTATCTCCTAAATGTTCTCCTCCCTAACCTTATCTCTGGTTATACACTCTTTGTATATAATTTGTTGCGCTTTAAATTCAAACGTTATCCTATGCATCAAAAAGCTCAGAGTACCTTTTCAGAGCAAAGCCAGTAAAACGATAGCTTTTACTTTTTTAGCGAAACTACGTATGAAAGCCCGCAGTAAACATTAAATAGTTTTAGTATTTAGGCTCCATTGGTTATAACATCGAAATTTTAATATTTGCCAAATCCAGCGGTTCACACAAAAGGCAAACTCAGACAACCCCTTTTCAATGCGGCTTTGGTTATAGCAACGTAACTTTAGTTAACTTACTTATGCTGACCGAGACTATTTCTGTTAACATTTGCTTTTGTTACATTTTCTTATATGTAGAATCAAGCAAACAATATACTTCCATTTTATATAAATATTCGAAAAGCTCTCTTAATAAAATAAAAAACTGCACTCCAAAATATCACGTTTTTATTATCTCCTGGAAAGTCTTCTGAAGGCCAGAATGATGCGCCAAACTTGGCGAATACAAGCCTCGTGGGTGACAGTCGCAATTGACTCGGAGAATTGATATATGAGGTAAAACCTTTGTGGTAATAGTCAAGAATCCGTGTTCTCGGAGCGACATTGGGGTATTAAATTTAATTATGCTCGGTGGATCTTAAAATTGTCGTGGTCGAGATAAGATTGATTGAACTGTGTAGGTTTATTCTAGCATAGCAAGAATGCATAGTGCGAGTCGTGCCGTGTCTGGTCGTGATCTGCTGGAGAGAGGGTCCGCGCGCGGAAGTGGCGGGCAGAGTTTAGGGACACCCGGCGGTGGTGGCCATGATGATGGCGCCGGGTGTGGCGATGATAATCTCCCGACACCTCATTCCACTTTGGATGAACAAACCTCACACTTCCCCAAAGCGGTCAGGTGGACAGCTCACTCGTCCACTCCTGGGGACGGTAGGTGCCACAGCCCGTTGCAGGTGTCCTCTGAAATTATTCCATGATGTATAATCTTTTATGAAGGAACTTTAGTTTAAAGTAGCCCAACCTTAGATGTACAGAAACAAAACTTGCACCAAAACTATTTGAAAATCTTTGTTCAGAGTTCGACTAGATATAGGGATTTAGTGTGGAATGCTACTGCTTGTATGGCTCTCGCAAATAAATTAACTAGAATAAACGAGATCACGCAATATTACACACACGTGCGAATTTATTTTCAAGCGAATCATCCCTTCTTGAGCAAGGTATGTAGAAAGAAAGCCAAATTACTTAGAGAGCAGCATTTCATATACAACACCAATATTTTTAAGGAAACGAATTTCGATATTTGGAACTATTAACCAAAGAAAACCTACGCCGCACCAAGTAAATCTCTACCATGAAAAAATTCAGATAGTTTTATCACACACACAAGAGCAAATTCTTCAAAAGTGAAGAGTGCTTCACTTGGTAAAAACATTCTGAGCCACAATTTTTTTTTCCGAGGAAAGAAAGTTGTACGAACTTATTGTTCAGAAAAAAGTGAGCCATTAATCCCATTTTTATTATCTTGTAATTGCTGAAATATTTGTGAATGGCAAACATTTTTCAGGAATTATTTTATCATGATTTAGTTGAGGCCGAAAGCATCATGCTTGTAAGCTCAGGTCAGTTGAAGATTTTTATCGTGAACGGAAATGACCTTAAGGTCAAGTTTTATTCATATCTTCGAAATATATAATTCATCTGTATTCATAAATATATAGAGCGCTAAATGTCTATATAGCTTTCCTAGTTAAAAAAAATGTATTACTATTTAATAACTTACTCGCTTTCCAGCTCGAAGATGTTTTTCAACAATCTATTTCAATATAACTCAAAGAACACCAGATGCAGTCGCCACAGTTTGCTTATTTTAAGTTAGAAAAAAATATTTACCCCCTGTATTGTTAGCAACCATATTTTTGAATGGAAACCATTTGACTGGCATACCTCATAAAAGCTATGCATTCTAATGTCACCAAAGTAATACATTCCGTAAGAGTTAATTGCAATCAACAAATTCTGCGCCAAGACCCATTATTTCTAGCGTACACTTGATGTTTATGGCGACGGGTTACGAAGTCCTTGCCAATGACAGTCGTCTAAACAAAAATTGGACAGCGATAATACATTAGATTCTTCGTGTAAGGACGTTCCCATAAATAAAAAAAAAATATTTCTAAACCCGAAATGCAGCACTGTGGGGCACTCGACGACGATTGCAAATCAATTAATATAGTGCAAATACCTACAGTTTATTGTCTCCTTTCCATCAGTTCTTAATATGCCGTAGACATTCCGATTTTAGTCGAAATTCACCAATAAACATTCATAGGTGTCAAAAATACAATGCAGTTAAAGCCGAAAAAACGCGGATAAACATCCATTGGTGTCAAATATACAAAATCTGCCAAAAAACACAAATTTTTAGAAACATTTGCTTCGGCTGGGACTATTTTTGTTCAAACCCTCTTCTCTTAGACCTTGATACTTTAATTTTAATGTGCTTTATTTCAGCGACAATCACTGTTTAGACACCGAAAAGCATGCGCCATTCTGAACACCGTTCGAAGCACATCACCAAAATATATCGGTATTTAAAAACAGATAAACAACGAAAATCATGCACCGATTTCTCTTATAAATACACACCGGAAACTCTAAAACTTGCTCAAAACCTTATGCTGTTAATGAATTTTAGGAGTAAATATAATTTTATGTTCAATAGAAACACCTCTGCGCTAAACTCGGTCATACGCTTTTTGCATGTCTATAAATATTGAGCCAAGGCATGGCTCAATACAATATACAATTTTCAAAAATTCCACATGGACACGCATGTGTGAAGCGCGCAACGGATTAAGGTCTCGAGGTGTAAATTGGACACACAGCGAGACTTTCTCACCGAGTGATCAACTTAGAGCCCCCGTATCGCAACTCCCTTGCTTCTGTGGCGTCTAGCAAGTGATATTGAAAGCGATATAGAAAGAGAAAGAGAGAAAGAGAAAACGAGAAAGTGTCGGGTTTTATAGGAAAGTATAGCAACTCATGTCCGCGCCCACTCCTCCGTCATAGTAGCTTCCCATGATATATTTCGACGCGAGTGGGAGGCGCTGTGAATTCCACAAAATATTTATTAGAAATTCCGGCAGTACATCCATTCACTGCAAGGCCGTAGAAGTCGTGTTGTGAAACAATGACTTGCGCGTACAGAAGGTAATCGTTTTCAGAACACTCAAGTTCTAATTTAGACGGGACATGTTTAAATATTTTAAAACTTGGGCATGTTAATATTATGGGTCGCCAATTGTTCTGGGAAAGGAGGTGGGGGCGGTGAGTGTTTGCTGCTTTAAACTTTACCACAGTATATACCTATCTGAGCCGAATCACCAATAATTCCAAGTATACCAATGCTTTTGCGGGATTTCTTAGGAACACCGAAACGCATTTTAACAGACAATTCTGATATATGATACATTCTACATCAATCAAAAACTGTCCACCAGTAATTACAACATCCGAACAAACGTTTCGGTAATTCATGTTTTGTTGGTATAAATAACATAACTCAAACAGAAATCGTGTGGACAGGCGTTTCGTTTACTGATAATTATCAACGACCTTGTCTCAGCTGTTTACTTGGTGTCGAAACAATGGCCTTGCGCTGAAACGAACTTTAGATGTTATCATTCCAATTTCTTGGCAGAAATACTACTCTTCTGACGACGGAGTCTAAGAGGCTTCCACTGATATACCCGCCTAGATAAGTCGGTGTCCGTGATGTGCCCGAAGACTTGGTATTCGTGAAAGACCCCAGCCATGTGGAAGTTGATCCTGCTCACAACCGTTGCCTTTTCAGGCTTAGTGGCTCTCAACGCCGACGAGGAAGCAGGTACGTCTTTCACATTCTTTGTTTATTTACCGTTCTTTTTTACTTCCCCTCAATATTAATGTCCTCGGAGCCTCGTACGAGCCCGTCCATTCAATCGCTCTGCAAGGTTTTGGCCCTCTGTACGTTAGTGTACATTTTCGTCCTGCTTGCGGGCAGAAAAAGCAATGGCTTTATCTCCCCAGAATCCAGTAATTTTAGCGTCGACAAGTGGACAGAGCGCCGCCAGTGTAGTCAGCACCGCTAGTAGTCTGGCGATCAGAAAGTGGTAGAAAAATTTTGAACCCTCTCTGATCGAGCTACCCATACATTGTGGCGGTACGTCATCGCAATCAAAGCGTCTCTGTACACTTAAGTAGTGACTGCAACGTTTTCCAAAATAATATAATTCTTCACACGTCTTCTTGCCTCGACATCAATTCGCAATGCCGTTGTCGCTGTCTTGAACTTTAGTGCCGAGAGTAGCGCTATCAAGTAGTGTCAATGAAAATCCGTACGCTCCATTGCCTGTCACGCTTTCGCTTGAAACCACACTGCCTCATTTGAAAACAGACGAAATACAAAACCTCTGTCTAAGTTACGTTATTTAATGTCAGTAAAGAATTCCCGGTACTTCCATACAGCGATCAATTACAGGTGCAAAAGTTTTGGCAGTCGGAGAAATTGTTTTTATGACAGCATGTAACCACAAATGTGTGGCGGCTCACTGAGAGCATGCGATGGCCAAACCAAAATGCCCCTCGCGACAGTGGCGCTCCTGCAGACGGTTATTGGCTCTGTACCAAAACATAACCGGCGTTTGATTACCAGTAGCGCACCGAAGGACTCTGGTTATGTGCCAACGCACTGTTTACAAACAAGCTCGCGTTTGCCCACGCCGGGTGTGGCCATTGCAAGTGTGCAGAAACACGATTCGTGTGATATAAGGCCTCTGCGCATGCGCAGTGCCGACAGCAGCACCACCGCGGTCGCGGGACCTCAGAGGGTCGATTGTGTCCATATAGCCTACCATGAGGTTACCAAAGGCACGTCAGATGTCAACGGCTATCAGATTGTTTATTTGTTTATTTCTTAGAAATCTCGTGAAAGTTTATATAGTGAGCAGAAGGGTAGAAAAACAAAATGCGCCACAAATATGCTGCCATGCACTTTAAACATTTAACTAAGCAATTATTCTCGTTTTATTTCAAAATACTGAGGAGTACCTGGATGGGTAGCTTGATCTGGCAGAGCGTTCCGCTTAGTTATTGCTTTAAAAAAATGAAAGACGTTTGCGAATGTCTATAATGCGAAACTAATGCGCAGCTCTTGAGAGGGAGGCGGAGATGCTACGGAGGGGAGGGTATGCTCCTCCCCCTCTTCTGCACCCTCCCCTCCTCTCATCTGCTCTTCCCGCTGAAATTTTTCACGGCTGACGTCGCATGACTTCGTGTCACGTCACCCATGAACAATTTCAGTTTATCCGCTAGATTTAGCGGGAAAAATGACGTCACGTTACCTCAATAACAATTCAATTTCCCGCTAAGTTTAGAGGGCAGCTACGCCGACACCGACGCTCACACTAACGGCGACGCCGCGAAACGCGGAAACGGGCCCCCTGAGGGATACGCTGTAAAATAAAAATAACAAGGAAAAGAGTAAGCATACAAAATATGTTTTTCAGTCATCGCTCATTCTATGTGGCAGCGCGAAATCGAGTTTACGCTTGTACTCAACATTAATTTTAGCTTGCAAATTTAAAGAAAAAAAAAACTTTGTTTATGCGATTTTACATTGCACTTGGTATCCCTTGAGTGGAGACGAAGTATCGCACTGTAGTCATTAATTGCTTGAGAAAAGTAGAGTGTGGAGAGTCCCGAACGTATTATTATTGTTCCCCAGCCAATGGGATTGAGGCTTTAGCCGATACAAACACCGAAGAATGAATCACGAAGCAAGAAACGTGTACATATAGTAAGCCAAGCCCTGCGTTTCTATATTAAGCTGACAGTGACCATAGTGGGACTCGCCTGGAACATGATGCAGCCATTACGTTTCATTCCTTGCCTAGATAAGCGTGTGGTCAGGCTAAAATAAGTCCATACAGGAACAGTTATAAAAAGAAAGATAATTAACAGTGATATTTTCCTTTAAAGTGCTATATTGTATGAAATGCATTCGAGGGAACTGGTGCGGGAATCGGTTCGTCACGAGATGTATATATTTTCGCTAAATTTATCGAAGAACATTGATGGTTGTAAGGTCACGTGACGTCGATTTCCCCCGCTAAATGTAGCGAGTAAACAGGATTGGTGTCTAGGTCATAAGACGTGAATCTTCACTCTAAATTTAGCTGGTTAACAGGTCACCCGACTTCATTTTGGAGCTAAATTGAGCGGGGAAGCTGAACTGATGTTTTGGACACAGCACGTGAATTTTCCCGTTAAAATTGGCGGGAAAACTAAGTTGGCGTATATACCACGTGCCGTCAATTTCCCCAAGGTGTAGAGGTCACGTAATGTCATGTCACGTTACGTAACGTCACTTTCCCCCCCAAATACAGCGGAAAATTCACGGACGGGCGGACAAAAAAGGTTTGCGATTGGGGGTCGCGCTAAAAGCATATCTCCTGGAACCAGTGTCCGTACACATTTCTCCAGAACTATAAGATAAAAAGTTGTATATGTTTGTTTGTTTTTTTTTTGTTTTTTTAATCTTAGAATTACTTTTTGTTAAAAGTTCTAGGGTTTCAGACGATACGCGTTCCCGCTATTTTCTATGACTGGAGCGAGTCGTCACACTAAGGTTGCATCCGCGCATTTGAATACTATATTGCTCTCGTTGCATCGTTTTTGTGTCACCTAGACATCATGCCAGTGACGCACGCCTTCTTCACGAGATACCCGGGAATCTATTTTACCTCTTATGTATCATGGACAACTCGCATAACCTCGATCGTTGCTAATGCTAAACGTATATTCTCGGATTTTAACCTATTAATCTCAGACTAGCGACACCCCAGCAAAACAACTAGCCTGCGCTACACAGTTAAGACCCAAATAGAATAGGCTTTCACAATATGATCTCCATGGCAGTTAAACTTACGTAACACCCAATAAGCCGTTCAAAATAGACTACGTCCTTAAATTTATTCTGACTACTATCCAGACACTAGCGTATGAGGATTACACCCGTCAGCCAACCTGGAGGCACTTCGTGCCGCCGAACTGTGTCCCGCATCCGTCCTCATCTATTTTTGTCACAACACACATCTCAAAGAACCTTTGCTATCACCTGCTCACCGAAGTTTCCCTGGTTTCGACCATTCTTGCAAATTATGTTCAATTTCATCATCCACACGTTCTTAAAGAATGTCTAGATTACCATTGGCCATAAAAGACTGGAACATACTACCTGACCACATTAATTCCTTAAATAACACTAACATATCCGCAGAGGCTACTACCTTCTCTCTCTCCAACACCCGATATGGGATTCAGTGTTTTAGCCTTTGTTCAAGTTCTGTTCATTCTTATTTTGTATACGAGTGTGCTCACCGCTTGAGTGCTCACCATCATCATCATTTATTTTCCTTGAAGACCCTTCAAGGAAAATAAATGATGATGATGGTGACGACGCCGACGACGATGATGATGACGATGATGATGAAAATATCTATATCGAACTAAGTGTCGCATTGACACAATCACATTTCTTCCAGTTCTCTTTTTTTTTTTTTTGCTATTGTTTCAAGGTGTTTCTATCCCTTGAAGCCGTAAGCTGAAATAGTTGCTTATAAGAAAAACTAAATGTCTACTTAATTCAGGAAATATCGCAAAAGCGAATTTTGTTTTTCCTGCTGTTCTCTTGAAAACACAACGATTTCCTGTTTTACTTCCACCAACGCAAAATTGTACGCCGACGTTCCACTGTTTCTGGTAAAATGAAGGTGTTCCGGCAACGCCGTTTCATACAACACTGCATGCATGGAACTCATCAACTCTCTGGTTTCAGAGGTTCCCGTGTTCCCGCCTGTGGCTAAGCCTTGTTCGGACGGCGAAGAGTGGAAGACGTGCGTGAGTGGATCGTGTGCCGAAACTACGTGCGAGCGTAGGGTGCTTCCCAATGCGTGCACGGAAGACTGCAACTACGGCTGCTACTGCAGTGATGGTACGCTACAAAGAGATTGATTTTTTTCTGGTTTGGGGTTTTTGTTTTGCTTTTTGCTTAAGCTGAATAGCGTGAATCACAGCTCGCGTCAGCTTGTTCCGGTTGTCGTAATTTCCCACGAAGAGCATAGTGGCCCGTCTCTAGCACAAGTTTTGTCCGTAATACGGCGTTTACGTTCATATAAAATTCTCCTTCTGGTTGTCAGAACGTCCAATTATTTTCGAGATCTCATAATGACTAGAAAATGCGGCAAGCAGGTTAGTCGTTTATGGTGGCGTTCATTGTTTCCTAAACGCACTCTCTATTTGCAACCAGAAACTTCAAAACGTGTCAGGCTTAGATACAGCGTTTTTCTCGAAATGATATTTGCTTTGCTTGGTTGCCAAACGAAGAGAAGAACGTGTTGTAAGAGGCGAGGTTACAAGAATACAATAATAAGCCAAGCACGGCACAACCGGTGCACCTTTTGACTACTTTGCTTCGCCCTAAGTCTGAGCGCAGACTAGGCTGCAATCCGACGGAGCCAAACAAACAGTGCAAAAAGTGAATCGTCACTGCATTCGCCTTTGTGCTTTGGAGCGTTATCTATCCCAGACAAGAACGGTTACGCAAGGCGAATGCCCCATGACACCTTACTTGCGGTCGAACTTAATGTGAAGCAGAGTAGAGTAACACTTAATATTTCCAAAAGCGCACCAACAAAAATCGAAGCCGGATGTTGAAAGCGAGTAAATAAGGCATAGAAGTGAAAAGTGTGAAAGGGCAGTCAATTATCATTTAGCAAATAAGGGTTACATGATCAGTAGAAAAATCGAAGAGGACTAAAAAGCGAGGATATGTCCGTACCAGTTTTGTAAATCCAGGAACGGATTTGAGTTCAATACGTTGCTTCTAATATCAACCGTTTTGTTCTTTTGTTTTTAAGGTTACTACCGCAATGGAGAGGCTTGTGTGACGCTTGAGCACTGCCCCGACGCGTCGGATGCCCACCACGAAAAAGAGGAACACCACGAAGAAAAGAAAGATGATTAAATGCTTAAATAAAATTAAAATGAGATGAACAAAATACATGGAAATCTGTTTACTCACGGTTGCATTTTGTCTGAAGCATTAGATGATGCTTGCGACATTAAGAAATTCCAATTAATAATCGTTTTGAATGTTGACAAGGCAAATAAAATGTGTAGCGAAGATTTTTAGGTTGGGTCTAGTTGGTTCATGTCATTTAAAAGGTAAAAAAGCGCGAACTGAAACACGGAAGAAATAAGAACACGTTCAACAAGGACAGGCGCTTCTTAGGTAAGACGAGCCTGTTCTTGTCGTACGTGCTTTTATTTCGTCCTTGTTTCAGTTCGCAATTTTTACATTTTAAAAACTTACTGCCTTTACAATCCCACCAGTTACCTGACCAGTGGATAGGGGGAACTGACGCAGCCGCCCGATAAGTTGACTTTTATTTGGATGGTTTCTGTTTCGGCGCTCTCGCGGCTGTGCTAGTGTGCTATGTCGTTTTCGCTTAATCTTGTGATAAAAACGTGTCTTCTGATACACTACGAACGATACAGTTTTGCTTAAAAACTGTATCGTAAAAGAGTTACGAAGGGATTCAAAGTCTAAATTGTGGATGTTCTCATGAACATTTTCATATGATTAGGCTCACCGTTAGGCTAGGTTCGGCTGCGAAACGACTAAAAAGATGCGGGAGTATGATCATACTCTACAGCCGTACCCGCTGACACTAGTTTTCAGGATAATAAGCTTATGAAGAGACTAGTGCACGGAACGATGGTGAAGAAGTGAGTCGACAACCTGATTAAGAATGTGCTGAATCTCTGAGAACTAATGACCTCGTAAGGTTATTGCTCGCTCTTTAAGTTTCGAGGACACCAACTTTTTCTGAAAATCGCCGACTGTAAAAGCCTCCTGTAGTAAGAACAAGAATATAAAAAAACAATAATCCATCCTTTTTATTTTAAGAAACAAAAGACTCGAGAGATGTTTCAATGGCCCACCCTAAGTCGAATAAAACATTTCATCTACCGGCCTTGCTAAAGTATATCTCTGAACTGGATTCCATACGTTCAGGAAATGAACTATTTGCAATACGCGCATCTTTTTGCAACGTATACAGAATATGGGAAAGGCGACAAACCCGTCAAGTGAAGTCCATCTGTTGCTTGTAAAATTCGCGAAATAAAATTATAGGGTGCAAGAGATGTGACCTCACGCAAGTTTATCTGAAGCCGAAGGCAAACTTTAATTCGCTTTAACAGATACGCTTTTTACTCTCAGCGACATCGCTATACGCTGAAAGTAAATTTGAAATTGCAAACGCTCCACTAAACAATTTTTATGCAGACAGCGTCTTTCGGACGTCACATACTGCGTATACCTCAGGCTCCCACAAGTTTTTGTGACCCTTTTTTCTCATCCTTGTAGCCCTACCATTAGTCTATAGATGGGTGATTTCAGATAAGATCGACCAAAGGGTGGCTGGTCGACATTTTTAAATCAACTGATGTTTTTATATGACATTGTCTAGTGTCTGGTATAAACGAATCCACACTTAGTTTTGACCAGAAAAAAAATTTGGAGACAAGAAAAATCGTAAGGCAGGGAGGGAGAGGTGGACAGTTGCAATAACGCGCACTGATGGAGGGGCAAGTTTGAAAGTGAATAATTAAAACAATAAAATTAGGAGAATTTTAAAACTTTTCACAAACAAACTATGCGTACAACTTGCTTGTAATATAAAGTAATAATATTTATTAAAAATTTATTTAGTTTTCTAAAAATTGCCAAACATGCCTGCTCGAACGACAAATGGCAAACTTTGGAAATCTGTATCTCATGAAATAATTTAATCATTATTACATAACTTGCAGACGTTATTTTACTAATATATGGCTATTATTTAAAAAATAAATAAGGTATCTGAGTGACAAAACAGTTACAATATATTTAGGCAAACATGGGAAAAAAATCAAACAAAGAAAAATTCCAATGCGAATAAAAAAAAACACCACCTTCGATTTTTTTTAAATTTGGGTACCCTGTTATACTCTATTTCGGCATTCATTTCTATTAAAAACATGTTGCATCATTGCACTGTGAAAGAAGAAACAACTCCCCAAAGTAGGGTCCTTTTTCAAAGCCTACACATAGCAGTGTCCTATACAAGAAGTGACTCTGAGTTACAGTTTCATGAAACTTGCCAAAATCTTTTATATACATTTATTCAGATGAGGTCATTGATAAAAAGAGCAATCGGTCACACAGTAAAAGGGAGGAGAAACTATATACAGCATTTTACATGAGCGTACAAAGTGGTATCATATTAGAGACTAATGATTTGAGAAAAGATGATGGAGTGTGAAGTTGTACCTTCCGGTATATTTTACATCTAGAGTAAAATAAATAACTTTACTTCCACACACAAAAACAAAGATATAATAGTAAGATATTTAGGTTGGCTGTGTATTTACGATTACAAACAATTTCAGGGGACGGATGCCATAGTGCCTAACTGGAGCAGCTTCGATGCTCTCGGTGTATGAATGAATCGAGGCAAGCCGATATATTTTATCCTGCTCGAGGATAACATTTTGGGATTTTTTTATAGTGATCAAATAAAAATTATTAGTAACCACCAACAAAAACAGTAGGTTAAATACCCCGAGAAGAAAAATTGGATAAATAAGATGTCCCTGCATTCAAAATGAGCAGTCCTTGGGAAATCAAATTCGGCACTTTACGCTAAGGTTTTCCTCGCTGTACTCATTTAATAAAGTTGTTTCCAAGCAGATCCGACTGTCCGTGCTACATATACGTCACAGGTCCCTTCTGTTGATGACTTGCTGAGCCGCCACGCGTGCCAAGACTCAATGCCAGGGAAGGCGCGCACCGTCAGCCACTCTTCGTTTTTTTGTTCACGATACCGAACAACCTCATTTTCGTCCAGATATGCAAGATGCACGCCTTTCAGTTTCTTTGATAGAACGCTCACCATTGTCCTGGCCGTCTGAATTGCGCTTACTGAACGTTCTCTCAGGTTGTTCAGCGTGGCCTGGTGCTTCACGAGTCCGCCAACTCCGTCACATGCATTTTGCCCATGTCCAGATGCAGAAAATAACCACTGGGCTTGTGGGCAATCGTCCTTTGCAAATTGGTGAAGCTGGTAGCGATTCTTGAAATGACTGGCGGCGCCGTCACTTACGTACGTCACGTACGAGTATACCGCAACCTTGTCTTCAACCCACTAATTCACTTTTTCTAGAGCCAAGCAAGCGTGAGCGGCGTCGTGACACAGGTCCTCACTGATGATGGCAAAGCTGTTTGTAGATTTTCTTGTCGTCACTACACATGTAAATATCGAAACTTGTTTTTTTTTCCAGTGATATGCTTGCACTTCGTCAGGAAGCACGATGGTCCAGTTTTCAGCAAAGTCAAAATGAAAGACAATGCTCCCGCGTTGCATGCACTGTTTTTCATCGTAGATCGCTTAACCTTGCGTTTGCCGGATATGGTTGTGAAGTAACCAACTTCCAACCGTCACTTGGATGACTTTTAGGAAAGTCTCAGGTTCCAAAGTTTTTTTCACAAGGTCGCCGGACTCCCATGTTGCAAGCACAATCTCTTTATCCTCCGGGATATCAAGTTCCTGGAGTGTAAGAAACTGGCCTTTTGGGCAGTGATCACAGTCTCCTTGAAGGCACAGTTCTGTTGCTGGGTCGCACAGAAATGCCGAGTTCATTTCACCAGTGTTGAATGTTGAGCCTGTAACGTTCTCTAGAGCGGCAATACAAAGATAATAATTGGCGCAGCGCACACAAACGCACACTTCCTGGTGTGGAATACATTGGACCCATCTAGGGCGCAACGAATAAAATTTCGTTAGCCCAACGCCGGAATCGGGATGCTTGTCTTTGTATATACGGAAGGCCTCTCGTATTGAGCGTGTCATGAAGCGCTCTGGCACGAACATTTTCTCTCCGTTGAGCATGACAGAGATGACGTCCTTCTGGTTGGGACTTTGGCGCGAACATTGTAGCTCGTCTTTCGTGAAGTACTCTAGGGCAGCAGACAGGTTCTCAGGGCTCACCTTGCACCTCGTGTAAGGATCCGGCTCATACCACACGCCATGCTTTTCCTTGAGTTCTCGGGATTTACTCATGAGGTACACTGAGGCCTGTGGAATCATCTTTTGAACCTCATTCTTCGTCAGTGTTGACGGCAGGAGTGTAAGCAGTTGACAACGTTCCCGGAGAGAGGTGGCAGTTTCAAAGGCCTGCCGAAAGTTGTCCACCCACTCAGTGCATGTGGAGCATGTTGGTTCGGACGACCCCGATGGTGCGTCCCTGTCGTACGCAATACGTAGCCTTGAGCGTATATTCTTGACAGCAACCTACTCCAGTTCTGTCTGCTTTCTCTTGACATAGGCAGGCCTGTCCCGACTTCTTACGACACTTGGTTGTCTCAGCGGCGACACATCTGTAGGTAGTATGCTGCGATTTAGATCTTCAATTGCTTCTTCAGCTGGCACAAATATGTCAGGGCACTGCTTTGAGCTTCGCATCGAGATCTCCTTAGTGATGTGCATGAAGCAATGGTAGCACAGGTAGTCCGTCGCACTCACTTTGGTGGAACAGTCAGGCGGAAGAATTTGCTTCAACGAGTTTAGGTCCAACTCGCCAACACTTCGAAAATTTCGCTGCTTTGGTATAGTCTTTTTGTGTTTGCAAAAGTAATCTGCACAAAACACTCGTTCGGAGCTCCAGGACGTCTTCATAATGTATACATAAATAATAGAAATTAAACCCCAACTGATGGCATATAATTGCCAAGTGAAAGAACTACTGGGTGCACAAGTGACAAGTCCGAGGCTGAGGAGCTCACTCACTGCAAACGTACATTTGAAAAGAGAGGTCACAACTGAGGCTGTCGGCAAAGCTTGATCCACGTCAAAGAAAGAAAGAGGGAAAGTCTCCAGACAAAAAATTGTGGTCAGCGGCCTTCGAAAAAGACTTTCCGGAATCGCACTGTCGTCCCTCCACGCGCTGATATGAAAGCA